TCCTGCTGGTCCGCGGAAACGCGTTTGCTTTCAAAGAAATGTTCCACGATTGTCTTTTTACTGTAAACAGCGGGTAGGTTTATTTTTGTAATTGCTGTGTGCAACAAGGGCTGGGCATGGGCAACTCCTCGCACCTGAACTGGGACCATCCTCGGCTCGGCCTCAAACAGAACAAATTGCTTTTGGTACGGAACAACGTAGAACAAGGGAACACGTTCATTAATCAGACCAATCTTTTATTAAGTAGGATCCATCAGTACTTCATTCCTGGCTCTTCATAAAGATTCATATTAGGTGTCTTGCACCTTCTTAAATACGTTTTGGCTGAGCGATTAGCGAAGCCCATTACTTAACCGACCAAAAAAGTTTCATTCTGTTTGTCTTTCTGTTTGTATGCACGATAACTTGAGAAGGAATTAGGTTGGACACCTGGAATTTTTCCCGTAAAGGCCTGAGACCTGTACGGGAAAAGTTCCAGGTGTTTCAAATTTTGACGAAAAAAATTCGTTCATATCTTGTTTTTATCAGAGAGCTCTGTTCTACAACTTCAAGGTCGAGTTTATGGTCTACGAGCCCCTGGACCGATTTTCACTTTTTCACTAGGGTCCTACCTTAAAAAGAAATCAAACCACAGGTCGCCAACAATACCCCCCCCCCCGCTAATTTTGCTCTATCTAGAGCTGTTTGGGTGCTACGGCACATTTCTTGACGAAAATAATCCCAAAATTACCAAGCGCTCGGAAAAAAACATTTTTTTAGCCGCTATATGTGCGCCAGGCGCGTCGCAGCGGAACAGTGTTTCGCGAAGCCTGTTGCGCTAGACATAGTCTAGCGTACATATAGCTAAGCCTGCGGCTGGTTCTTATATGTTAACGTCATTTCTTGACTAAAAGCACGAATAAGCACAAATCCCGAAACCTCGGTCGATAGCCTGCAATGACAACACTAACCTAGTCACCATGAAACCACGAGCTCGAGCTGCCGGGTCATGCAGGAGTTCTCATGTAGACGGCGAGACCAGGTCGGAGAGAGATATAGCGACGGCGGGGGGTTGGAACAGGGATAGAAGGATCGGAAGAGAGAGAGAGAGAAGAGGATGCAAGTGAGTACCTCGCTGTGCCCCCTCCACTTTCCCGCCCGACACTTGCCGCCCCGGGCACACAAAAGGGCGGCTGCTGCTGCTGCTGGCGCCGCCGCTGCTGCACGCCACTTGGTGTTTCTTCCCTGATGCTGCATACGCCATTGTCCGGCGCTGACAATGGCCCCGCCGCGGTGACCGAATGGTCTGCATTACAGCATCCTCCCGCGGCGCGCATGCCAAACGGGCCCCGCAGCGCCGCACCACGCCACGCCTCGCTCCGTTCACTCATTCTTTGCGCGCGGCGTTTGTAAATGCCTCGCAATCCCCTCCCCCACCCTTCTCTATCTCTCTTTCACCCGCATTCTTTAACCACCCCCGACTGTACCCCTCTCCCCTTAACTTCCGATATGGTATGGACATGTGTGTGGGGCGGAACTTGTGCTGTGTTTCCGCGCGTGTCTCTGTCTCTCTCTTCCCCTTTTTCTCTATATCGCCCTCTCTTTGTTGTGTTTTCGTGCCATGAGCAGCCGAATAATGGAGGGTATGTGGGACGGGACCCAGGGAAATTATGCTATGGCTAAAACTATTGCGACGGCCCGCGGCTGTGGTGGTGGTGGGTGGCGGGCTTCACATTGAGTGTGAGAGAGAAAGAGAGAGACCTTGTGCAAGTAGAAGTCAGGGTGCTTTCTGGTGCCTGCTATGGGCGTGTTTTGGGAAGGACCTGTCGCTCCCGAGAAGGTGGCTGATTACAGGATCCCGTCGACAAAGGAGCATAGTACCTCTACTCCGTACGGCTTTGTGGACGTCTGCCCAAAGACGCAGTCAGGAACCACGCAGTCGGGAACCGGCAAGAGGAGGGGGGGGGCGAAGCAGCCTTTGGCTGTGTAACATGTCATGCCTCTTCCCTCCTCTGCTCGCCTCCCCTTGCCCCTGCATTGCGCTGGTACAACG